GTTGTCACTTTTGTTGTTCATAATTTTTATCTTTACCTTTTTCTTCTTCTTCCTCTTCTTCTTAAAGAATATCCTTCAGCATTTCATATAATCCTGGTTTGGTGGTGATGAACTCTTTTAGCTTTTTCTTGTTTGTGAAGCTCTTTATCTGACTTTTAGTTCTGAATGACAGCTTTGCTGGGTAGAGTAATGTTGGTTGTAGGTTCTTGCTGTTCATCACTTTGAATATTTCTTGCCACTCCTGTCTGGCCTGCATAGTTTCTGTTGAGAAATCAGCTGACCATCGTATGGGTACTCCCTTGTAGGTAACTGTTTTTCTCTTGCTGCTTGTAAGATTCTCCCTTTGTCTTTTGCTCTTGGCATTTTAATTATAACGTGTCTTGTTGTGGTCCTCTTTGGATTCCTTTTGTTTGGGGTTCTCTGCACTTCCTGGATTTTTAAGTCTATTTATTTCACCAGGTAAAGGAAGTTTTCTGTAATTATTTCTTGCTCTCTTCTTCTGGCACCCCCATAATTTGGAGTTGTCCCAGAGGCTCCTTACACTATATTCATATTTTTAAAATTCTTTTTTCTTTTTGTTTTTCTGATTGGGTGTTTTTTGCTTTCTCATATTTCAAATCTTTGGTTTGATTCTTGTGTTCCTCTAGTCTACTGTTGGATTTCTGTATATTATTCTTTATTTCAGACAAAGTGTATGCTTAATTTCTAACTAGTCCTTTTCCATTTCTTTTTTTTTTTTTTTTTTTTTTTTTGGCATTCTCATTAAGATCCTTGAAGGACTCACTAAGTTCCTCAGAGGTCTCATTAAGTTTCTCAGCAGTTTCTAGAAGATTCTTGAGTAACCTTATAACTGTGGTTTTGAACTCTATAGCCAGTAGATTGCTTTCCTCCATTTCTTTCATTTGTGACATGTTTCTTTGTCTCCACATTTTTGCTGCTTCCCTGTGTTGATGGAATGGCTTTGTGTGGTAGGTGACTTATAGGGGCCTGTGGCTCAGCCTTCTCAATCACCTGAGAAGGACACTCTTGGTGCACCCCTTTGTGGGATGGGTGCACAGTCTTGTTGTAGTTAAGCCTTGATTGCCTTTGGTACACTGTGAGGAATTGATCTCCAGGCCAGTTGGCTGTGAGGATCAGCCGTATCTATAATGGAAGAACTGTTATGCTGGAGACACCCTTATGGGGCAGAACTTGCTTCAGTGGAGTTTTGGTGCTCACTGAGTCTGCCTCTTAAGTGTGATGCTTTTGAAGAGTTGGAATCTGGTGTCGTCTCACACTGACCACTAGGTACACTGGCTCCTGAATCTTCAAGGAGGTGCAAGTCAGCTACTGTCTGAGGCCATCCAGCAGAAACTACAGCAAGATCTGCAAATTTCTCCACTTTGGGGTTTGGGAGTTTTGGAGCTGTCTGACCCAGCTGCAAATTTGTTAGGTTAAGCTATGAAAGGGCAGTCCATTCATATGCAAAAGCCATTGCACACAGCTCCAGTGGGTTTGTAAATTGGGTGGGGTGAGATCTCAGGGAATCACTAGGGTGTGGCAAACAGCAATGGCTGTAGTCAACCCTCTCTGGTCTCCACATTTCTGTTTCCAAGTCCCATATCCCATGCCACAGTGCAGTAAACAATGATTCCTGTGAGCACCTTTGCAAGAAAGTCACCCTCACTTTCTGACCTGATGCTAGACAGTCCAGCTTCTCCCCATTGGAATCTGGGTCCCCAGAGTCTTGCTAAAAACTGGAGTTCAGAGCAGTCAGGAGCTTGTGTCTCCCTCCTGCTGAAAAAGACAACTGTTTCCTCAGTTGCTAGTCCTCTCCGTGCACACCTCCATACCTCTGCTTTTCTGAGACTCTGCAGTTCCCACAGAGTCTCAATGCACTTTTTTCTTTCCTTCTAATAGCTGTAGAACTTCCACTCAGCCAGCTTTCCTGTGGTTCTGGGTGATAGTTGTTCTGTCTTTTAGTTGTAGTTTTGGTGTGGTTGTTAGAGGCAGCATGTACAGGTGTATACCTTATGTCGCCATCTTGTTTATATGTTTATATAAGTTAATATGACCTATCTTTATGGCAGGCAAACATCTAACTCCTGAACATTTGCTCTTCTTATCAAACTACAAATTGTCCTCCTCTTCTCTATATCACATTCCTTAGCTCAGGATGTTATATATGCCTTATTTTACCTTTCTGTCTCTGAACCTCTTATATACATGGAATTCCCATATATATGCAAGTAATTAAATTTGGTTATTTTTTCTTATCAATATGTCTCATGTGGATTTAATTATTAGACCAGCCAAAAGGACCTAGAAGGGTAGAATTTCTTCCTTCCCCACTATTATATACTCTTGCAGATGGGTACCATTTCAAATCCACATCTGTAATCTGACATGGATCCACAACCATCCCAAAATTTAACATCTATCCTCAAACCCATTATGCAACCCCACTTTATGGAGAAAATTGGGCCATCAGGAGAGATGTTCTATAGGATCACAACACCTTCTCTCTCTCTCTCTCTCTCTCTCTCTCTCTCTCTCTCTCTCTCTCTCTCTTTCAGCCCCAGGATGTGCCAACAGGAAGGGCAATAAAGCACCATGATAGAAAACCAAGTATTTATGCAAATCACTCTGTAGAAGTTTTATAAAAACTGTGGAGTCTTGCCATGTGAACTGCACATTACCAAACCTGAAATTGTTTATTGCTTATAACTGGGCATCTTCAATCTACAAAAACCTTCTTTCCCTTGAAGCCAATGACCCTAAGACAGGCTCAGGAATACATCTGGCAGCAGTTCCTCTGATCCCGACTCCCCTCCTCAAGTCCTACTCATCCAACTCCCTGGTCTCTGCACTGCAAACTTACTAGTCAGTGAGGATCTGGAGGTTTTCAAACCTGAATGTACACCAATTCACACGTCTCTGAGGGTTTTATGCCTGCCTGGGGATTTAAAGGGGCAGCAATTTTTAAATTTTATGATTATGACTATTACTTTTCTTATTACCCTTTTAAGGTATTTTTTTTTTTTTTTTGACAATGTTCTGCTCTATCCAGAGTGGCTGCTTGTTAACAGAACTTTCAGCTTTTCCCCTCAACTTCCAATGCCAGGCTCTAATCCACTGACACAAAAGTGGCCAAATGTACCATTGTATCTGTGACCCAGGAGGATCGTGTGTGTGTGTGTGTGTGTGTGTGTGTGTGTGTGTGTGTGTGTGTGTGTGTTGGAGGTGACCAGCCAAGGTGAAATGATGAAGACAGGAGCCTGGAGTCTAAATCTAGGTGGGCTGGATGCTGCCCAGTGGGAGGGGTTAAAGACGATGCTGGCCTAAGGTGACCAGACGTCCCGATTTTGGCGGGACAGTCCCGATTTTTAACAACTTGTCCCAGTTTTTGGAAAGACTGCACAACAAGCTAGGGAACGGCGGAAGAACGGGAAGGGAATATATGGTTTTCGGCAGCCATGTGGCTATTTAGCCAGGATATAAGTTTTATATTATTTTTGTTAATTTTATAATGTTAAACTTTAATAATAACAAATAATTGTTGAGAACTGATTATTGAGAACTGCTTATTAAAGTTCGCAACGATGAAAATATTTTGTAACTGTCTCTCAGGCGATACACATCGTACCTTGCACTAGTAAGCTAGTTAAACAAGTGATGTCATTACAAATCAGCTATTCAGATAATTTAGGTAAGTAATTTATGTATTTATTTCATAACTACATAAATTTTCTTGAATTTAGCAGACAGTACCCGTATTATTTATATTTTATAGTGGCGGCAAAAAGTCTCGCGCCGGCCTTCAAAGTGACACTTACGACTCACGTTACAATTAAGTGTTGAGACTTTGAAAGCCATTTTATGTGTGAACTATAATTTAACAAATTCTTGAGAAAAATTTCATGACCTTTTAAACGACGACAGCAATCTACTAAAACAAAAAATTCACTCAAATGAGAAATATGCCCAAAAATAAAATACTATACATAATACTTTTATGTATTATATTTGTAAATTGTACTTATGTTGAAGTTTTTAAAAATATATTACAATACTATTTTTGCGTTCTATGAACATTTTTGTTGCTCCATATAGACCAAATTTTTTTTTAAATATATTTTATTGACTTTATACAGAGAGGAAGGGAGAGAGATAGAGAATTAGAAACATCGATGAGAGAGAGTCATCGATCAGCTGCCTCTTGCACACCCCCTACTGGGGATATGCCCGCAACCAAGGTACATGCCCTTGACCGGAATGGAACCTGGGACCCGTCAGTCCCCAAGCCGACGCTCTATCCATTGAGCCAAACCGGTCCCGGCTAGAACAAATTTTTAATCAAGAACCCCCCTCTCCCCTTCAATGGTGTCCTGCTTTACCAATGTTAAAATCTGGTCACCTTAATCTAGTAGGTGGGCTGGATGCTGCCCAGTGGGAGGGGTTGAAGACGGGGCTGGCCCTACAGTCAGGCTGGGAGCTGGGCGCGGTCCCAGCCTGTGCAGAGCCTCCTCTCAAACTGGAGATGAGCAAGCAGCTCCCTCTCCCGCGAGGGCTGCAGGCGGGCCAGCCTGGCTTTGCAGAGGAGCCAGCAGCCATCCTTGGCAGAGCGGGGTGCTGCTCTTCCTGGTGGGGCTCCTGGGAAAGTTAACGCGGCTGATTCAAGTGCACAGCCAAGTCTGGCACCAACCGAGCGCTCAGCAAACGGTCTCCGCTACTCCCATTGTCATAAGCCCGTTGGTTACCTCGGGGATGGGTGGGAAACCCAAACCCTCGGAGAACCGGGAAAATCTGCACGCGGGGCGGGACGCGGGAACCGCGATTTGGGGAGGGGGGCGGCGGCGGGGCGATCCCACGCCAGCAGCCAATCCAGCGGTCCCGGGGAGGAAGAGGAGGAGCCAGAGCACTCCGGACCGCAGTGCTCGGTCCCGCGCCGCGCGCTCGATCCGGCTGCTGCGCGTCTCCCCCTCGGCGTGCCCATCCCGGAGCCTCCCCCCCACGCAGACATGGCCTCAGGGGCCACCCCCACCGCCGTGAAGGTGAGCTTGGCGGTCCTGGAGGCCACGGTCCGCCCCCTGCCCGCTGCGCCTTCGCTCCCGCCCAGGAGACCGCGCGCCCCGCCTGGGTGCCCGGCCAGCGCCCCCCGCCGAGCCGAGGCGGGAACGGTCTGGGGCGCTGCACCGGGACGGGTGCGCCGGGAGGGCTGGGAGCGGGCGGGAGGGAGGGGAAACTTGCATGCTCGCCCCCTCCACCTCTGGGCTCAGCTGCACCCTCCCCGTTGCAGGGTGTGGGCAAGCCCCTTGGAGAGGGGCTGCGGGCAGAGCTCCGCCGCGCGCCAGCCTTTCCCGGGGGAGCCTGCCTTCCCCGGGGGGCGCGCCCGGGTGGGGCGTGCTGGGTGCCTGCTGCTCGGAGCCCGTCCCCTCGTGCTTCCGCTCCGATTCCGCTTTCTGCCCGCCGCCCACGTGGGAGAACTGTGTGCTTGCTCTTTTGCAAGCTTCCGGCTCTTTCTCTCCCCCCTCCCCCCCCCTCTCTCTCTGTCTGTCTCTCTCTCTGTCTCTCCCTTCCTGACGTAGGCCTTCCCCTGAAGTGTCCCCTGCAGCACGTTGCTTCAGGCAATCTGACTTCTGCAGCGCGGACCTGGAGTACCGGCAGCTCCCTCTGTGGAGGCCTCGGGCTTTAAACGGTTTTGTTTGCGATCATGCAAGTCGGAGATCGGTTGCATTGTGCTCTAGCCCTCGTGCTGCTGCTCTGTACTAGAGACCTTTGTGCGGTGGGATCCTCAGCCGGAGGAGAGTTCTGAGCCCTCCTCCTTACCCCTCCCCTCTCCCCCTCCCCCCCCCCCCCCCCAGCTTCCCTGGGGCTTAAACACTCCCGGCCTGGCTGGTGTCCGGGAGAGGGTAGAGTTGCAGTGCCTAAGGAAAAACTGATAAAACTTAAGATCTCATCTCTGTGTATGATTGGCTGGGAAGTCAGATAACGAGAAATCCTTGGCCTATGGGGTAGGGAGGAGGTTTCTCTGGGTTCCTCGCTTTGTGTTCTCACTTCCCATGGAGAAGGCAAATCTCTGCGGTCCTGGTGTTATCAGTCAGTCACTGGGACTGTTCGTTTATTAGGCCCGGGCAGCTTTTCCTGAAACGGTTGTGACAGGGAGTTGGGTGGGGAGTGTTGCAGTCACACCTAGATTTGAAACTCCTTTGATCATTTTGATAAGAATATTGCGATCAAAAATACCTGCAGAGCCGAAACCGGTTTGGCTCAATGGATAGAGCGTGGGCTTGGGGACTGAAAGGTCCCGGGTTCGATTCCGGTCAAGGGCATGTACGTTGGTTGCGGGTATAATCCCCAGTGGGGGGTGTGCAAGAGGCAGCTGATCGATGACTCTCTCTCATCGATTTTTCTAACTGTATCTCTCCCTTCCTCTCTGTACAAAATCAATAAAATATATATATTTTTAAAAAATACCTGCAGAACACTCCTTTCTTACCAGTAAGGGGGGGGGAGGGCAAAAAGAGTTTTTTTTGTGTGTTTTTTTTTAATTGATTTTTTACAGAGAGGAAGAGAGAGGGATAGAGAGTTAGAAACATCAATGAGAGAGAATCATCGATCAGCTGCCTCCTGCACACTCCCTACTGGGGGATGTGCCCGCAACCAAGGTACATGCCTTTGACTGGAATCGAACCCAGGACCTTTCATTCTATCCACTGAGCCAAACCAGTTTAGGGGAGAAAGAGTTTTAAGGGAGCTCATGTGCTAAGCCAGTTCCTTAGGTGCCCCTGTATAAAGTGGGGATTACTGCAGGGCTTGCTGGGGTGCTGAAACTTGTTCAATGGGAGTGTTTCTGACGGGGGGGGGGGGGGGGGGGGGGGGGGGGGGGGAGTTGAGATTCAGTTTGGATATTTTTTCTCCAACAATTCAAAAATGATAGGCGTGGTAGCCACCGCGTTGTTCAGTGGGCGGGCAGGAAATCTTGCCCTTCCAGGAATACACTGAGAGAAATACTAAAAACAGGGAGCGGTGGTGTTTAAGACCATCTCCAGTTAACCTGGTTCGGCATTCTCCTCGCCGCACAGCCTCCCTGTAAAAGTGGTGCAGTGCGTGTGAATGCAGAGTGGGCCCGGCGTGGCACTGTGGTGAGCGCCTGCTGCAGTGTGGAATGATGTGTATTTTTGGCCTCGGCGAGCTGCTGGATATAAACTTAAGTACGCATCGTGCTAGGCCTGCCTGCTACTTTCTGTCTTTTGAGGTTAGACAGCCTTTGCTGTTGAGGATCCATGATGCCAACGCCAACTTCCCCCCGCTGCTGCGGCAACATCCTGTGGAGAGAGCATGGGATGCTAGTGTCCAGAGCAGACTAGGCTGATAAAAGCCATGTCCTGCCCCCAGATCATGGAACGTAGAGCTGGAAGGTTCCTGAAGATCCGTGAGCCACAGGAACCCCTTTTTGCGGATAGGAAGCTGAGGCCCGGAAAGGTCAGCTAAGGTGCCCGGCATTATACAGTCGGACCTCGATCAGTGGTCGGCAAACCACGGCTCGGGAGCCACATGCGGCCCTTTGGCCCCCGGAGTGTGGCTCTTCCACAAATAATACCACATGCGGGTGCGCATGTACAGTGTGATTGAAACTTCGTGGTCCATGTGCAGAAGTTTGTTTTCGGCCTGGGCGAGTCTATTTTGAAGAAGTGGCTCTCACGGCCAAGCTACACTCAAATTGCCAAAGAGCCACATGTGGCTCGAGAGCCAAGGTTTGCCGACCACTGACCTAGATAGTAACAGAATTGGGCCCAGAGTCTGACATCCCACCAACTGGATGTTGTGAGATGTTACTGAGTCCCACCTGTGGCCTCTTTGCCCCGTTTTATTGTGTGAATACAGAGATCCTGCAGCTTTAAGAGAGAGGGATTGTAAAGCAAGTGCAAAAAGCCGGCTGCCTCCCTGTGCCCACTGGACGCTCGCCCCTGTGGCTAAGAGCAGCTGTGTCTGCGAGAACCTCGGGCATCAGCCTGGGCAGGTGGCATGCCAGACCATTCAGGGGGCTGAACAGGTCTTTGTCCCCCAGCCAGGGCATTGTGGAGACCTCCTTCAATGGATGTGTGAGTGGGTTCTCCAGGCAGCTGCCCAGCTTTTGCTCTGGGGGATTAAAAGTAAGTCCTGTGTACTATGGTTGCTGTGACAGGGAGGGGATATGGCCCCATGGTAGGTGGGTTAGTGAGCTGTTAACAAAATGGCCTTCAGGGGAATGTAATCAAGACTGGAGAATGGGTTCTTACGCTCGCCTCTTGGCTATGTGTGGCTGGCCAAGGCCGTCAGATCCAAGGTCTGGAAATGACTCTGGGAAACTGGAGGACAACCCACACGCCCCTACTGGAAATGACCCAGGAGCCTGTATTTCTTGCCCAGGGACTCGCGGGCATTGTGGTTGGGACAATTTCCATCTGTAGGACTGCCCTGAGCAATGCAGGACAGAGAGTACTTCTTGGCTCTTCCCCCACGAAATGCCAGGAGCAGTCCTCCAAGGCATCTGGCAGCCTGGAATGTCCCCTGGATGCCAGGGGCTCCCGGGAGAGTGGGGCACACGTGGTTGAGGGACCTGGGCTATGTCCCTGAGACAGTCTGCCTGGAGAGGAGTGGGAGCAGCACCGTCTGTGTCCAGTTCACACCGAAAGCCAGAGAGAGGGCTTTTGTTGATGCTGTTGTTGCTTTTTTTTTTTTTTTTAATCTTTATTGCTCAGATTATTACAATTGTTTCTCCTTCCCCCCCCCATAGCTCCCTTCCACCCGGTTCCTGCCCCACCCTCTGCCTTTACCTCCCCACCCCCCCATTGTCCTAATCCAGCACCCCCCACACCCTTTTCCCACTGATAATTATCAATCCACTCCCTTTCTTTGCCCCAGATTCTATTATATTCACCAGTTTATTCTGTTCCTCAGATTTTTAGATTCACTTGTTGATAGATATGCATTTGTTGATCATAATTTTTATCTTTTCTCTTCTTCTTCTAGTTAAACAATACCTTTTAGCATTTCATATAATTCTGGTTTGGTGGTGATGAACTCCTTTAGCTTTTTCTTATCTGTGAAGTTCTTTATCTGCCCTTCAATTCTGAATGATAACTTTGCAGGATACAGTAATCCTGGTTGTAGGTTCTCACTATTCATCACTTTGAATATTTCTTGCCACTCCCTTCTGGCCTGCATAGTTTCTGTTGAGAAATCTGCTAATAGTCCAATGGGTGCTCCCTTATAGGTAACCAACTGCTTTTCTCTTACTGCTTGTAAGATTCTCTTTGTCTTTTGCCCTTGACATTTTAATTATGATGTGTCTTGGTGTGGTCCTCTTTGGATTCCTCTTGTGTTGTTGTTGCTTTGAGGAAGGTCATTTGGATTCTGTTAGTTTTTGCTCCGGGTGGGAAGGTGTACAGGACAGTGACAGATATGAAAGCTTTATTTTCATTTGGTTCTCATAATTCTACGGATTTCTTACCTTCCCTTATTCTGGCAGCCCTCAGAGATATTGTGGGGTTTGGTTCCAGACCACCACAATAAAGCAAGTTGTAATCTGTTTGCAGGTGAGGGGGAGGTCTTACCTTCCATTTGTTAAAAAACAAGCAACACAACAAACCTACAATACCTATGAAGTGCAGTAAAGTGAAGCACAGTAAAAAGGAGGCGTGGCCCTAGCTGGTTTGGTTCAGTGGATATAGATCCTTCGCCTGTAGACTGAAGGGTTCTATTCTGGTCAAGGGCACATGCCTGGGTTGTGGACTCAATCCCCAGTAGGGGGCGTGCGGGAGGCAGCCAGTCAGCCAATCAATCTCATATTGATGCTTTTATCTCCTCCCTCTCTCTTCTCTGAAACAAATAAACATATTTTTTAAAAGGTGTGCCTGTAGGTACTGGTGAGGAACTGTGTGCAGTGAACCCTAGATGGATAACTGTGATTGTAATCATGCTGTTCTAGTCTGTGCTACGGATGCTTCCAAAGCCGTGGTTCTCAAAGGACTCGGTGCGTCTGCACCCACTTGGGGATGTGTTAGAAATG